GCTCTCCGTAAATCATTTTAATCCCTCCCAGTTTTAGGAATTTCAGCACCTGGTGAAGTGTCGATGGTACGACCCTCATGTTATGAATCCATGGCCTCCCGAACAGATCTTTGTATCTCATGTCTCGTTCGATCACATAAAACTTTGTTTCTTGAACGGTTCCGGCGGTGTTCACCAGTAGGGTTATCTCCCTTTTAGTGGTCTCACATGCCATGTTGAATCCGTTAAGAACTCGGAGTGCAGGCACAGTTTGGTCTCATAAACCCAACTGTTCAATGACCCTCGATCTGATGATATTGGCCAAGCTACCTAGATCAATTAACACACGCTTAACTAGAGATTTATTTATGAGTACATATATTACCAGTGCATCATTGAGTGGTTGCACGATGCCTTCAGCATCCACGTTGTTGAAAGATACGCTTCCTAGAGGCGCTTAGCAAAGTGAGTGCCAATTTTTCCAGGTGATGATACCTAATTTCGGCCTCGCCTAGAGTCCTGCTAACATAATAGATAGGGAATTTCGTACCTTCCTCTTCCCGGACTAGGACTCCACTTACCGCTATCTCGGATACCGCTAAGTACGTGTATAGTTGCTCGTCTACCTTCGGAGTATGAAGTAAAGGCGTGCTCGAAAGGTACCACTTGAGTTCTTCCAAGGCTTGTTGGCACTCCGGGGTCTACGAGAAGTTATTCTTCTTCTTCAATAATGAGAAGAACCGATGGCTTTTATCGGAGGACCTTGAAATGAATCAACCCAAGGCGGCTATGCGCCCGGTTAACCTTTGAACGACCTTGATATTGTCCACCACAATAGTGTCCTTTACGGCCTTGATCTTATCGGGATTGATCTCGATTCCTCGGTTGGACACCATGAATCCGAGGAATTTCCCGGACCCGACTCCGAATGCGCATTTCTCCGGGTTCAGCTTCATATTGTATTTTTTCAATATGTTAAAGGTTTCCTGCAAATGTTTCAAATTGTCCTCTGCTCGCAGGGACTTAACTAACATGTTGTTAATATAAAACTCCATTGATTTTCCTATTTGCTCTTCGAACATCTGATTTACAAGGTGTTGGTAAGTGGCATCATCATTTTTTAGTCCGAGTGGCATTACATTATATTAGTAGGTGTCGTATGTAGTGATGAAAGATGTTTTTTCCTGGTCACCCGGGTCTATCCGAATTTGGTTGTACCCAGAATAGGCATCGAGAAAGCTGAGGATCTCGTGGCCGACCGTTGCATCGATCATGCGATCGATGTTGGGCAAGGGAAAAGAGTCCTTGGGGAATGCCTTGTTCAAGTCTTTATAGTCTACACACATTCTTAATTTACACCCCTTTTAGGGACTTCTACTACGTTTGCTAACCAATCCGGGTATTTATCTTTCTGAATGGATCCTATTTTAAGGATTTTATATACCTCGTCTTTGATGAATGCATGCTTGACTTCGGACTGAGGCCTTCTTTTCTGTTTGACCAGGTGAAACTTCGGATCCAGGCTCAACTTGTGAGTAGTTATTTCCAACGGGATCCCTGTCATGTCCAGGTGGGACCAGGCAAAACAATCTATGTTAGTTGTAAGGAATTCAATGAGTTTTTTCTTGAGCTCGGGACTTAACCCTGTGCCCAGGTATACCTTCCGATCTGGAAGATGATTGATCATTATGACTTGTTCCAGATCTTCGACCATTGATTTGGTGGAATCGGTAGCGTCGGAGGCTATGAAAGACCTGTGAACTCCGTAGTCATCATCCTCGCCCGTCCCCTGCTTTTATGGCTCGGTCGGGACCGGTAATGGTGATTACTATTTGGTTTCTTCCTTGGTGACTGAACTCAGGTTCTTTGATATCGAGAGTGCGGATATCGGGACTACCTCATCGACTGTGAACATCTCTTTTGCGACCGGTTGCTCTCCGTAAATCATTTTAATCCCTCCCGGTATTAGGAATTTCATCACCTAGTGAAGTGTCGAGGGTACGACCCTCATATTATGAATCCTTGGCCTCCCGAGCAGACCATTGTATCTCATGTCTCCTTCGATCACGTAAAATTTTATTTCTTGAAAGGTTTCGGCGGTGTTCATCGGTAGGGTTATCTCCCCTTTAATGGTCTCACATGTCATGTTGAATCCGTTAAGAACTCGGACTGTAGGCACAATTTGGTCTCAAAAACCCAGTTGTTCAATGACCCTCGATCTGATGATATTGGCCAAGCTACATGGATCAATTAACACACGCTTAAATCGAGATTTCTTTGTGAGTACAGATATTACCAGTGCATCATTGTGTGGCTGTACGATGCCTTCAGCATCCACGTTGTTGAAAGATACGCTTCCTTCTGGCACATAATCTCGACTCCGTTTTTCCTTTGTGATGGACACTTTGGTGCGTTTTAACATCGGCCCCTAGGGAATGTCAACCATACCAATGATCATGTTAATGACGTGATGAGGTTCCTCTTACTCGATCTGCTTATTGGAGTCCCTATTCCTGAAATGAATTTTGGCTCGATCGCTCAGGAACTCTCGGAGGTGCCCGTTGTTGAATAACCGAGCTACTTTCTCTCTCAGTTGTCAGCAGTCTTCAATTCTGTAGCCGTGAGTGTCATGATATTTACACATTAGGTTGGGTTCCCTTTAGGCAGGATCAGACTATAAAGATCAAGGCCACTTGGTGTCTTTGATGCATCCGATGGAAGATACGGTGGCAGCGGCATCGACATTGAAGTTGTACTCCGATAACCTCGACGTTTCCTTAGGCCTGCTGGGTCTGTCAAAACAGCTTTTGCTCATGAGTCTCCGATTATTTTTGACCTCGGTAGCTTCTTCTTTCACTTCTCACAAGGTTTCATCCAGGCCCATTACCTCTTCGATCTCTATTATATGGTTGATATCGGTCTCTTTTTTATCTTGGTTCACAATCAATGTCTCTTTTGGATCTGTCACTTGCTCTGACGGGATAAACAGAAGGGCCCCCAAGCTGATCATCTTCGAACCTGATTTTTGATTGGTACTGGTTATAGACGTCGGCCCAAGTTACCGCTGGATATTCTATCAGATTTTTCTTCAACCGCTGTGAAGCCAATGCGCTTTGAGCATTGAGTCCTTCGGTGAAGGCTTGAATGGACCAATTATCCGCGACCGGAGGCAGGTCCATTCAATCTATTTGAAATCGGTACACGAATTCCCTGAGCATCTCATTATCTCTTTGATTCACTTTGAAAAGGTCTGACTTCCCGGTCTCGACTTTGATGGCCCCGGCGTGTGCTTTCATGAAGGCGTCTGCAAGAATAGCTAACGAGTCAATAGAATTAGGGGGTAAGTTGTGATACCATATCATAGCTCCCTTTGACAAGGTCTCTCTTAACGTTTTCAGCAGGACAGACTCGATCTTATCATCTTCCAAGTCGTTCCCCTTGATGGCGCACGTGTAGGAGGTTGTTCTGTTGTACTTAGGAATTTCGGGCATGCAGAACTTCTTTGGGATCATCTTTGGAGTTGCGCTCGGAGGGAAAAGTTTTTGAACAAACTTCTTGGAATCCAGGCCCTTCAATATCGGTGGTGCTCCTGGGATTTGGTCGACCTTGGAATTATAGGTTTCTACTTTTTTGTCATTGGCTTCGATTTTCTTTTCTCCTGATTCCTCCCGCTTTGTCAGTTCCTCAAGAATCTTTATAATCTCGGGGTTGGTCTCGGGTTTAGCTTCACTCAGCCTTTCTACGATTGGTTCATTTCTGTGAGCATTTTCATGGGATGGTTCGGGCTCGACTCTGCTGGGGGTGCGGCTATGGTTCTGCAACTGGGCTATTGCTGCTTGTTGAGCCTGCAATATTTCAAAGATTGCTCGTAAGTTTATCCCATCGCCTTCACCGTCATGTGCATTTTGGGCTACCGATCGGACTCCCCCACAGATGCTGTTCTCAGGATCGGTAGGCAAGTTTGCATTGATGGCCATATGTGAGTTAGCGTCGATCGAGTCCGCGGTCGGAACTCAGGGGGCACCTCGTTAGTGGGTACCACATTGTTGTTCTCGCCATGGTGCCCAGACTCAGTATCCACATTCAAAGGGGCATATTGGGAGTTCGTCAATTTAAGCTTTGACCTAAAATTAAAGATTTCAAAGAACAAGTGAAAAATAAGGTGTGTTATTGAAATTTGTATCAAATTGCCACTATTATCCTTAGCCCCACGATGGGCGCCAAACTGTTTACTCTAAAAAATGAATAACAATTAAATTTGTAAGTGATTTTAAGGATACGTGGATTAATTCAATACAAACGGTAAATATCGCTAGATTAAACAAATAAAGGAGACAATAAATTATCAAACCACTTGAGGAGGGTGATTCTTGACTTAACAACATCCTTAATGACATATCTGTCCTCGATCCCGGATTCACAATGACCAAGCACTAATGAACAAGAATAAGAACTTTGAATAACAAAGAAAATAATAGTATATTTCCTTGATATACGTGTTACCGTGTTGTTAATGAATAATCAGACCCCCTTTATATTGTAGGGGAGTCCTACCCTAGGTACAATTCTATAAAAGGTAAAAATATTTTGTTTAACTAATCACCGGATTTCCGCTGGTACGTGCCGAGATTCACGTCGTTATACCTGGCTGGTCACGGATATCACGGCCTTCTGTTGATCGTGCTCGGTTGTCCGATAATGCTCTCTGAAGTCTTTTGGGATTTGGACCGATCCCGGGGTCATGGCCCCGACATTTCCGAGGGCGGGCGTTGTGCCCCCGGACCCTGGCTCGATGAGACCCTTGCCTTGATTCCGGTTCCTTATCATCACGTCTCTCTCGATTTACCTTATTGGAAATCAGGGCGTCCCATGGACCCGGTTTCACTCGTATACACATAGTGAATAATGAAATTGAAACATGTTTATGTAGAGTTCCTAGTCGAACAAGTCTTTACTAGTTAGACATGCTATCACTCAAGAAAAATAAAATACAATACATCTTTCATTTCTATGTCAAAAAATACAGTAAACCCCTCATTTTATTTAACATATAAAGATGAGCATATTAATACAGGACAGCCTACATATGGTCCTTGCTATAGCTAGCTAAATTTCATCAAATTAAAAGTAAGAGCTATAGTCTTGAACGTATAATATGATCATTAAGTATCAGGTGAACTTGCTTTTCCTCTTAGAGGTAGTAGAAAAGTTAGACGAAAAGATACTCAGAATTGCCAAAATTCATTTCCCAGGTTTAAAGGGACTATAATTTTGTGTAAATTTTCAAGCGAAGTTTAAACAAAAATATATTAAAACAAAGCAAAATATACTAAAACTAGGAAATAAGAAGGTGATAAAGGAGTTGATTCCAAGTATCAGGGACACCAGGTAGACACCAGTGGAGGCAGTCCATATGATTATAACTATAGACGGATTGATGACCGTCTGCTCTATACTGTGACAAGCTCGTTATGTTGATCAAACGAACAAATGAGTTTGACATGGTTTTCAAAGCATTCTCCAGTTCCATTTCTCCTGGATATAAACCTCCTATACTTTGCAGTGGTCTTGTTTTTCCTTCACATCTGAGTATAATCAATAACAGATTTTAATTTCAAGATATTAATTGTCATCAGTAAAGAAAAGAACAAACTAGTTAGAGAGGAAAAATGATAGTTACTCCTTATGGTCAGGAGAAACTCCTTGAAAGAAGGCTTTTGTTTTTGTGGAGTTAAGATTAGAATCAGCCCATTTTGCCCATGTATTTATTGCTTTCTCGTAAAGTTCTAATCTGTCCATATCTTTGTACGTTGTATTCCCTTCTTGAATGATATTCCAACTGCAACAAATCTTGTATTAATTATGAATAATTAGTAGTGCATATAAACATACTAAATATAATTGGAAAATTTATTCAATGAATCTCACGTTTGTCTAGTTCCTGTGCGATTCCACCAATGCCATGTATCAAACACCAACACATCCATTTGTTTCCAGACATTTCCCGAACTAATGGAATCAATCTTCAGTACTCTTGAGCCTTTATTCGTGGCAATGTCAACAATGAGAGGATTCCCAAGATATAGTAACCAAATATTGTATTCCTACAATTTCACCAATATCCTATCAACTCATATATTCATAAAAATCATGTCTCAGTGAAGAACAAAAAAAGAATGAACTTCCGACAAAACCTTCCTTTTCAGCTGTTTGCTAGAGATTTTGTGACAGAAATGAATAAAACATGAAAAAATTAATTTAACTTATATAAACTAACAGCGTAAAAAACTTGTACACTATCAATGTGTTTTAATCCCTTGTATAACATGTAATCTGTCTTATTTTTAGGTTACTAATTAATCCTACTTATATGTAATTATCTTTTGGGTGATCAGTAAAATATTATTTACAATAATGTTAGTATAAATAAAATATAAACTCAAAATAATGTGGCTTACCGGAATGGTGAATGTATAATGCCTTCCATTTCTATCAACGATATACTTGGCTTGTGGTTGTGATACATGAAGCATAGAAGCAAGGGAATACCACTGATTTTGACCTAGTGAATCTCCAACAAACATGATTCGCTTCCCTTTGTATTTTAACAATAATTCGGTTCCATTAAATCTACAAGGGAAAAGAAAAAAGATCAAATATTAATTGAAAAATATCGATCGAACTCTTTTAATTTAGTGACCAAACAAAGGATAAGGAAACTTATACCTTGGCAAATTACATCCATAGGGCTGCCATCTATATTTTAAATATTCTTTATCTAGTCGTCCATTCTTTTGGCAATCCCTTGTGTCCCCAATGAAGGGACACGTGGATGAATTATAGAGGGGATACGAGTCATCAAAAACCCAACTCCCTTTGTAAATATCACATTCGTTTGTTCCTAATAAGCTTACCTCATTGAAGAGCTTGGTATTCGAATTCAAGAAAAGAGAAAGTGAAAAGATAGTTAAAAATGTTGACACAATAGCAATGGCAGATACAGAATAACAAACAGCCATTAGAAAACTCCTAAGTCTTTTTTATAATATCTGTATTTGATGTAGTAAAATGGAGGAGCTCTGTTTTCTTTTCTATGTGTGCAATATATAGGTGAAGATGAAATGCATTAAATGAACTTTTGAAATGAATTACATGCATGTGTCCATTTTTATGTTCTTATGAATTGGTAGCTTATTGAAATCCTTAATTTCTCCTCTTGGCTAAACATTTTTCACATGCTATTTCCAACTTATTGATTTGTGTTCTATCTATTCAATGGATACTGACGACTTGATTAGAAATCTTTTCAGTGTCATTAATTGATTCGCATTACTAATAATATATCCTAGTTATTGCTAATAAATTTGAGTTACTTTCTTCTCCTATATTCATTTCACCTAGTTCATGCAAAGGTCTCTCCATGTAGTGGCGGAAGCAGGATTTTCACTAAGAGAATTAAAAAAAAGTAAAAAAAGTAAACACGCGAAGAAGCTAAAGAGATTAACATCTAATATATATATATATGAAAAAAATTTGACCTTAGTATAATTTTCGGGCAAAGGGGGTTCGGTTGAACCCAATTACTTCATGGCTTAAAGCAGCTTCTAAGCATTTCCATCCAAATGTTCGAAAATTTTCCCTCTTTCAACATAGCCAAAAGAAAATTGATTATTGTCTAAATATTATTGGCAAGAGATGCTCATTGTACTAACTTCATCTGATATGCAGTTGAGGGCATTTCTCGATCGGATGTCAATGAACATTATTTTTGGATTTGAAATGCATCATGGAGTAACAAATATTAGTCTCTTCGTTCCAAATACTAGTTATCACTTTAGCAAATTGATTTTTTTTTTATTTTAAAAAAAAAAGACAAGTTAACGTTTTACATTGTCTTAAGCATAAGTACGCATTTCGTGCTTTCGTTTTTCTCGTTTCCACCAATTAAAATGTTCCACCCAATGTTCTCTAGTTTTAAAAAAGATTTCGTGTTACATAACGTTTTCTTCACAATGTTGCAATCCTTAAAACTCTATTACCTCACGATTTTCCTACATCAAGTTAGCTGCTAATGTGGCTTTTGGCTGAAAAAAGAGGATATATAAACTATGGGTTAAGTGGGTACATGGGGTCTATACGAGAAACAATACTCATGTTTGGGATCACACTCCACCTGCAGAATGTACTGGAAAAAGTTACACAAAGTAAAAAGAGAGGGACACTAATGGAAAATACTCTTTGAGTGGTAATGGACAATACTCCGTCTCACTTAGCTACTTGGCTCTGCGGGGTGTATGACCTATTATGGTAGGATCAGACTTGATATGGAATAGAGTATTAATGCCAAAACATAGCTTTATATTGTGACTAGCCGGACAGAGGAAAATGCTCACTAAGGAGAGAATGCTTGAGATGGGAATTGCATGCGAAGATTCAACTTGCTGCTTGTGTGACATTAGTGAGATAGAAACAATACAACTTCTGTTTGTTGTTTGTGCATGGTCTACTGCAATTTGGGGAGTTATATCGAGCTGGATTGGACTAGCTAGGCATTTTGAGAGGGATATTATGCAAAGCATTATGAGAATCAGGAGCAAACATTGGAAACTATTTCAAAAAGAAGTCTTTCCTGCTGTACTTGGGGTTGTTGCTTATCATATATGGATAGCGAGGAACTAGAATTTTTTTAGAGGCTTCAGTGTGAGTAAGGAACTCATTATACAACAGATTCAAAGCGAAATTAGGGAAAGAGTAGATATGTCAAAAGGAGCATAGAGGGCACGTAGATGTAGTGTGTTCATACAATGTTGGGTCATGGGTCGCTCCATGTGGGCTGACTCGACCCGACACGGTTAAGAGAGATAAATGAGAGAGGTTAAGGGAAGTTACCACTAAATCACAAACTCTCATTAAAGTGAACGTGCAAAAAGGAGTGATGGGTTATCTTCCTTAACCGATATTACTCTGCTTATTTATGTTAAGGAGAAAACACAAAACTTTCAAGCGTGGACTTTTCTCTCTGACTAATTCTTTCTATAAAAAAAAATACACACAAGTTAGGGCATCTAATTGGTGAAAGATTAACTTTATTTCCTAGTGATTCAAAGGTTGATGTGGGCGATTCTTTTGGTGGTGAGTTCAAAGGTTTTCGCTGCGTCAATAAGGTACACAACTCGTTGTTCTCGCCCCGTTATTATCTAACAATGATATCAGAGCAATGTATGGTGTATTCTGTTTTGAATACATAGTTGAATGAAGTAATTTATTATCATTGTCTATGGCGGAAAAGTCTTTCTTTTTTTTGTGTGTGTTTCAGCGAAAGCAATGATAGTAGGTCCTTAGTCCTACCCAATTTAATTTTTTCACTTTAACCACAATTAACAATCAGTTATTTCCTCCCACGTGTCAAAGAGAATTTAATTGTTATGGTCTTGGTGTTAGATTCCAGAAAGAAGATGAAATTGTGGCCTTCTAAATATTCATTTAAAAAAAAAAGAAAGTGGTATAAGGGATTTGGTAATTTTTTTTATAGATCAAACGTTAGGAAAGGACCATGAACAAATTTCTTAAAACTCAAAAGACTAAGTTCTATTTCACAGAAGGCAACTGGTGAACCAAAACGGATAGAATTATGTTTGCCTATTTTAATGACTTTTAAAGTTGTTTTTGTAGTGATGACATGATGATGCATGATAATTGATTAAAAGATTTTCGTTTCTTTATAGCCATTGAATGATACTGTATATATGAGTTAGGTCATCAAAATAATTTTATCTACTTACTGCATCGTTGCATTATCATGTTCAAAAGTCATACTATTACTATGTCTTAAGAAATGCAACAATGGCCATACATTATAGAGAAAAATAGCTTTAACCTAGATGGATATTTATTGTTTAATCCCAAATTGCAAGGATAGAAAGGACGAATTTCTTCTTTTGATTAAATTGGACACTTGTCAATTTTTATGCACATAATGAGGTATGAGGTATGTGCAGTGTTATGTATTGATTTATTGGATAGTTATACATTAAAAAATTGAATAGTTACGAAGCATAGTTATATGTGGTTTTACTAGTTTCCTCGGCATGCGTGCTTTCTGCTTTTCTTACTTGGTCTGTAATAATGTATAGATATTTGGTCTAAATTTTAGCTCACTGTTTCATAATGTTGAAAATTAGTTTAGTTCTAATCCCTCAAATTGATATCCTTCTACGAGTAATTGTGATATATGTTGTCACGTTGAATGGTTGTAGCCATTCTTATTATTTTCTTGGTCCTATTTCAGATATGGCTGAACAGGGACAAGTTTGAATTACTCCAAGTGGGAGTTCTCGATGTCAAGAAAGGGGACAACCTAGAAGGATACGTCGTCGCAAGACTTTTTTCTATAATGATTCAGACTCGAAGCCTGAAGTCATCACGAATGTCTCAAGGGCGAGGCAAAATGAGTTAAGTGATCAGAGGGTTGAACGAAGGGAAGGAGAAAAGAAATTTAGGGAGTTTAAGAAATTTAAAATGGGACCTGATGCTTCCATTCCTGAACATGTACGCCTTTTTAGGTTAAAAAGAGCAGAATTGGCTAATTACTTAGAAATTACTAATTGGGAAGCATTAGCTATTTTAACGGACTCTCTTCGAGAGCCTTGGAGTAAAATTTTAACTGAGATTTATCATAGTATTTGGCCTAGTGCAACCTTTTAGCGTATATGTGCAAGAGTTAGTGTTCGATTGGTACATGTATGTCCTAGCAAACATGTAAATTGTTATTGTGCGTTTTATCTTAATGAAATTTAAATTGTGTTATTTGTCTCACCAGTTACATATATTATTTATTATTTTATTTTGTAATGGGATTGAGACTTGAAATGAAGTACACACAAAGTAGTGATTTTAATATTAATTAAAATATTTAGATATAGATGATGAATGGAAACGTAGTGACCTTTTGATTCTATACTAAATGTAAAATCAATATTATAATTAATTTACTTGAGTGTGTAATCACATGTATAAATTGTCTGAAGTATATATTGATGAGTTAAACTTGTAATATTGTCTCTAATAAAAGACATGGCATCGAAAAGTATCATTGCTGACTTGAACAAGGGTGACAAACTGAGTGGTGAAAATTACGACATTTGGAGTCATAAAATGTGGTATGTACTCGAAGAACAAGATGCTCTTGAAGGTATTAACCATGTTATAAGTCACCCAGAGGAGGGTAACACTGCCCAACATAGGAGGGATTTGAAAACTTACAATATTTGGAAAAAGAAAGGCTCCACTCCACATAGAATTATTGTAACTTCAGCTGCTGGTGATCTCATCCATGAATGTGAGAAATATCCTACTTCTCAAGCCATGTGGGCACATTTAAGAGAGGCATATGGGGGTATAATTGTAACTCTCCTTCGACAGTTGACAATCAAGTTTGACACATACAAAAAACGTCATGATTATAGTGTCAAGTAACATCTAACGATGATGTCAAACATGATTTCTCAACTCAAAAGTGTTGGTCATGTTCTCTCTGATGAGCAACAAGTTCAAGCAGCGATTCGGCCTCTTCCCAATAATTGGGAGCATCTGAAGGCTAACTTGACTCACAATAATAGCATTAAAACTTTTGCTGATGTTGCCCGTCATGTAGAGCTTGAAGTCGTGCGGCTTGGTGCTGCTAAAGCTGTACCTAATGCCTTTGTGGAAGAATCAAGTAGTACAAAGAGATCAAGCTTCAAGCGCAAGAGAAACTGGAAAAATAACGGAAAGGGTAAGGAGATCGGAGAAGGATCCTCCAAGAAAAGAAACAAGCCAAATTCCAAGAAAGAAAAATGGTTCTACAAGAAGAAAGACAAGAGTAAGATGAAATGCTATAATTGTCAAGTTTTAGGGCATTTTGCTCGTGAGTGCACTGAGCCGAAAAAGGTAGCAATTCAAAACGTATCTCTTAGTACTATATATGTTTCTAGCACTGTTTTACTAACTGAATCTTATCCTGTATGGATTGTAGACTCAGGGGCCACCGACCATGTGAGCCGTGATAGAGAAGCG